ATTTGCTATACAAATAAATTTGCCATGCCTTGTCTGTATAGTATACAGTATACGTTAGATAATATATCCTGTGTTCTTTTTTTTCTATACAGATCTTTTACAATAGCTTGGATTGAAGTTGAATTGATTTTGTGATGATAAAGAACGGTTATTGATGCATTACATGTTTTCAGTCCTTTGCAATAGTCTATTCTTTCCTATAAAAGCATAAATAGTTCTTTCATGGCCAGTGTTTTAAATAGCAATCTCACAATCCTTTTTCCTTTTAAAAGTACAGTATGTAATATGCAGTCTTCGTGGTCAAATAAACTCAATACATTTACCCTCACGCTTTTGTTGCCAGGATCTTTGTAGCTCCTGAGCACTGATTACAGGTGCAAACCACCTTTGTATGTAATACAAAGTCTGTGTATTACATACAGTATGACAACGATCTGTTTGTGAATATATTTGTGTGTCTGTGTGTGGGGGGATATACACATTTCCTCTGCTGGGCACTTCCTTAGACTAGAGATCGGGTGAGGAGCTTGGAGTAGAGCCGCCACTGTCTCGAGAGGAGACAGTTGAGGTGGCTCGGGCATCTTTTTTTGATGCCTCCTTGACGCCCCCCTGCATGTTCCGGAAATGTCCCATCGGGAGGAGACCAGGGAAAGACGCAAGAAAAAACATCTCTCTCGGCTGGCCTGGGAACTCCTCCGGATTCCCCCAGATGAGCTGGAGGAAGCATGTGTGGAGAGGGAAGTCTGTGAATCAGACTTTTGGCCTCGCAACCCGGCAACGGACAAAGCGACTATTCTGTCTATTTACTGTAAACTTTTTTTTTATCCATCCATCAATCTATCTATGTATCTATCTATCTATCCATCTGTCTGTCTGTCGGTCTGACTGCCTTTCTATGTATGTAATTGAGTCAAAAAATTACCAAAATTGGCAAAAGAAACAATATGAAATAGATCAAATTTACTCACTTTTAATAACACATTTCATTGATATATTGATGATAAAACATGTGTTTGTGATCGAATAACATGTAATTTGGTCACAATCGTCTAAAAGTGAGTGTTTACTGCTCTTTGCTTTGTTTAATGAAATACTTGTGTCACTACGGAACATGCCGCAATAATTCTATTTCCAACGCCTGTTTGTCCACAGTGGAACTCGATGCAGTCTATTTTGGCCCAGTTCATCTGCGAGCCGTGCCTGCCCTCACACAACCTGTCCCATAGCCTCGTGGCTGTCTCCGATCTTCCTTCTTTTAGATACAATCTCACTAGTGCATGGACATAATCGGGACATTGTAGAGTTTTTAACTGTGAGAGAGTTACACAAAGCCCACACAGAGGTTCACAGGACTGCATAACAGTATCATATGACCAGATGGGACACTGGTGTGGGGACTGTAAACAGGAGAGGGGTGAGAAGAGGACAACTCGCACTGTCCAACTTAATGATTCTCAAATGTTACATCACGCCCAGTCCGCCTTAACAAAAAAAACTAAACCCATATATAGGTTTCAATGGCTGAGGATTGCAGTAACCTCAAGAGCAAGCCATGAGCAAAACTAGGTCAACACTCAAGTATTTCAGATCTAAAACCGGTGATGACAAATGATAGCAGCAGCATGGTCTATCCCAGTAACAAGGTTGTGCTGATATCGCATTACGTAAACACACTGTGCAGCCAATGCCTATTTGTAACGCGTCGGTCTGTAAACTGCCTCTGTTCCCTCTCACTGTTTGATCTCACACTTCCGCCCTATTTTCTCATAAACGCGTGTCTTTAATCGGTTCAATCACAAGCTGAGTGTGTTTGCGAAACCTTTGGAGTATACAGGCAAATGTTCGGACTCTCAGAGAAGCAGGTTTTGGCCTCTGGTTATTGAGTTAGTAATGATAGTGTGTGCAATTTATAGGGAACTTTGCACTCTGCATTTGACCCATCTTGATACCACAAGTGCGTCTATCAGGAGCAGTGGTCGCCGTAGTAACAGCTCCCGGGAATCCATCTCCAGATATTGATGATCGGCTTGGTCAGGACTACCAGAGCTGGAGGAAACCGGAGCACACAGAGGAAATCTACGCAGACACAGGGAGAACATGCACACTTCACTCAGAAAGCCCCTGTTCCGAGTGGGATTCGAACCAAGGAAGTTCTTGCTGAGTTTTGCAAGGTGGCCCATCATCCACAATCACCACAGAAGACTCCAAGCTGTCGCAGATGTTAAAGGGGAAACACATTGAGAACTGGGGGATGGAGATTTCTTTTGTTTTGAGTATTATCGTAATATTATTATTGTATTTTTTTGTATTTGAACCCTTTGATGTTAATTCCTTAAAGAGAGCAGTCTTTTTTTTTCTTTTTCTTCTCTAAAAAGTAGCAGCACTAATAACATGAATCATTTGCTTATATGTTTAATATTTACTCCTAGTTTAGAGTGATAGAGATGCCCCAATGAGGATTTTAGTTCCAAGCTTCAAATAGATATAGAGACTCAAAAAGTGATCCACCAAATGGTTGAAGAAACTCTATAGGAAAATCTATTCAACACTTATATATCATACTTTGAAACCATTACCTGCAAATAAAACCATTGCTGGTAGTGTGTTGCCGTTGGTTATCATAAGATATTTAGTCTCATCTATGGAGATCTATGCAAGACCCCCGACCACATTAAATATGTATGCTATTCCAAAACAATCAGCTAATATCCATAGCGTTGATTTGATGAGATCATTTGAACCTGTGGACTCAACAGTTTTCCTTTGACATCGCCCTGCGCAGAGATAAATGCATAAAACCTTAATTTATTTAATGTACGCAGAAATTAATGCTTTAATTCTTCTAGGCTGGGTATGCTACACTTTGCACCCACACACGAAGCGATATATTATTTATGCGTTTGAACTTTTTGATAAATCCACCCACTGTTTACTTACTAAGAAACATACAAACCAACCCCATCTTTATTCATCCTTCAATCCTTGTTGCGCAAACACATTATAGTGGATTATTCATTGTCTCGGTTCTTGGATGTTTTGAGAGAAAACAGCAGGTGGATGAGACGATCTTCGGTTCAAAATTCTAGCTTTGACGTTCTCTTGTTATCTGCTCCATCTCCAGCTCTGTGCTCTCACCGCACGCTCAGGAGATAGTGACAATCAAAGAATGTTGTGCTGAAGACGCATTGACACGCAAATTGCCACTGTTCTTGTGTCTTTTGTGCCCACGAGCCTTCTGCAAAATGTTATGCGACAAAGAAAGTGCAGTACAAGCCTCGTATTACCACAAACGATTGAGTGGCAAAGGTTTTTCGCTTTCTATCTTTTCTTTGATATGACCAAGCTCTCGAGCCTCCAGCAACAGTTTCTCTCCACAAACTGATATACTCTATATTAGTCATAATAATAATAATGATTGCAATTAATGCTATTGTTGTTCTGCGCTGTATGGTCCCCACAATTCAGCAGGGTCTAGGTTTCTGAGAGTTTATACTTAATTCTTGCTGCTTCATTATGCTGAAGATTGTATTATTATACTTTCTCTTAGTGTTGAGTTATTATTAATTTAGTTGGTGATGCAACACTGAAATTTCCCCACTGTGGGATGAATAAATTATCGGTGAAACTCAGAAAATGTATTTGTTTCTATAATTCTTAACTTAAATTTGTAACAATATGAAATATATATGCAAAGGGACATATGCCAAGCCTTTGTTTGGACATTGTAATGGTTTTATTGGCTGATTTTTACAAGCTGCGAGACAATTATCAACATCATAATCAACCTTAAAGCAACCGCATAAATATACAAGTGCCATTTTTATCATTTTTATCAGGAAACAAAATCCCTCGATGAATTTGTCAATATATATATGTGCTGCATATTCTCATTGAATTTTGTAAGGATCGGCCAATCCGTGAGGCAAGTATAATCCAAACTTCACTCTTGACCCAAGGAAGATTGATGAGAGTTTTGACATTGTTGCTTCAGATGGTTTTGTAATTTGCCAACTCTACGCATTATAGTTGACTGTTTTGCAGGAAGCACGGCCAACAGACCAAGAACACCAAGATTTACAGTTGCACAAGCACTGAGACAGATTCGGGACGCCCAGAGTGAGGATGGGTGTGTGTGTTTTTGGCTGCTTTTTCAAATTCCATACCTTAGTCCATAAAAATGAAATATATTAGAGAGTGAAATAAAATTAAACACTCTTTTATAGAAATATTATTAGATAAAAAGTTGCATTTTAGTCTCCGAAAAAGCCTGTTTGTTGAGGGTTAAAAGTCCCAGTGAGATTTGGGATCCTCTCTTTGAGGTGAGTCCTGGCCGCAGACAGGGAACAGGAATGGGGTCAGGGAAGGTGTTAAAGGGGGACTATTGAACATGATTTTAGTGAAAGGGAAACTGGAGCACCCAGAGACAAGCTTCACAGACACGGGTAGAACAAGCAAACTCCACTCAGAAAAACCCTGTTCCGACCAGGATTCGAAACCAGGACCTTCTTGCTGAGAAGCGAGAGACCTAGCAACTCAGCCCCCATGTCACCTTGATCTATAGAATATAACTCAACTTTAGTAAAACTTCTTCAAGCCCCAGACACATACAGTACAGCAGGATAATAATTGCAGTTAAAAATTACATGAATAGGAAAGAATTTGAACAAAAAATCTAGGAATCCAAATACAAGTATATAGTATTTAGCCAAAACATGTCTTATTCAACCTTAATAGTTAAAATGATGCAATACTAAAAATAGAATATCAAAATTATGTTTTTGACTATTTCAAACAACATGAGCAGGCTATACATATAATTGAACTATGAGTCTATTGAGTTATTAAAGTTTAAGTGTGTACATGTTGATATTTTAAAGGGGAACATTATTGACAGATTAGTCTACATAGTTATACTAAAAGTGTTAAAAGAAATAAGGAGTAATACAGTTTGTGTTCGTACCAATGCAGCAAAGTCCAAATGACTGAAAAAAAAGCCTTACCTATTTTCTTCTGAAAGGAGTGAGGCATTCTGGGAGATGTAGTCCTCCAACCTCCGTCAATCAATTCAAGGTATTCAAGGCCTTTCCTGATCGCTCTTCTTCCAAAAAAACGCTCCAAACTATTTCAAATATTGTCTTTTTTCCCTCCCTCCTCTATTGTCTCTCTTCACCACAGTGCTGCCGCTCCAAGATATAGTCAGTAAATGTTTTAAGATTTAAGCCCTCTCTGGATTTTGAAGTGGCAGAATCCGCTCGAGGCTTGTTGCTTCTTGTCTCCGCTTTCTTATCGCCGCTCGGTTGCATGTATCTCGTCTTCGTATGCGCGAGGAGGATGATTCGCCGGCCGAGGATGTAGCGAGTCAAGTCAAAATGAGCACGCTTTACATGACAACACAGATCCACTGGGCAAATACTGTACTATTCTCTGCTCCGTCCCAGGCAAAGACACTGTCCGATCTGTCGTCTATCGCCTCACTTTCCACGAATGCTACCAGCTTCAACTCCTGTTTTGGAAAAGCACCAGATTACCAGCCCTTGTGAAATAATCCCAGTTTGCTATACATTCATAATTCATTTGACAATCCTGTTAAAGCGGTAGGGTTAGGGCGAGTGCGGCCGCAGACGAGGAGACTCCATGCAAGCAAGCCATCTGCCAGAGACTTTTTCATATCCAAGTCTGACACATTGTTTTACCAACACGGCTTTTTATACAACAAACATGCGAGTGGTCAGGAGGCAGGCCGGCATTAATCTACCTAAGATTAACTCAATCCTTTGGGAATATACACAGATATTGCTCTTTATATCTGGTCTGGTTCAGGCTGGCAGCAGGGGAGGAGAGGGAGGGGAGGGGAGGGGGCTGATGTTTGGTGTTTTTGTCGGGTCCAGATGTTGCGTCAACCTGTTCCAGTGGTGGATGCGTAGGTCAAACAGGGGTGGGGTCGGTTGTAAAAAAGGGACGTGGGTCTTGGGCCCAATGCGGGAACGTACACGAGGTCCTGATGAATTTACTGCCGGGATCAGAGATAAATATTCAACAATATCAATCAATCAAGCAATCAACCTTGTATTTGGAGAGCGCTTTTCATGCACAAGGTAGATGAAATAACAAATGAATGAGGTAACACACAAAGCTTCACTGCCCCATCACATGAGGCATAAATCATAAACATGGAAAACAACAGGGCATTAAAAACAAACATTAAGGTATTAAAAAAAATAACAATTAGAATCACACAAGGGATTAAAAACCTAAATAACCATAGAGGATTTTAAAGGGTGCTTCAGTTGTATGAACACATTATGGTGTGTATACAGTTGTAATTTTTGCTCTTCACCTGTGTCCAATCCTTTTAAAGCAGGTCAGGGCCTGAATAAGATGTATAGGAATTGGACGTGGGCCGAAAGAATAGAAAGTATTTCCTTTTCTTAAATTTGTTCTATACATGAAGGTTTTTTGACATGACTTTTATGGGATATGTTTTCTGGTTGATTTTTCTGAAGAAAAAAAAACTAAATTTGAAGAACTGGACCAACCATAAAGGTAAACACATTGTTCTATATTAAACTATTTCACTTCTAATGGTGTGGTGGGTTGGATTTGGTGGTTTTCCTGAGATAACAGATGATGCATGATTTGCCTTTGTAGCCCATTACCATCAATACTGCAAGATAATAATTATAAAAGAACATTTTAGGGGCCACTAAAAAGCCTGACTTAAAGGATATAGACATTTTGTATTCTTATATAAATGTCCCCGGATAATAACATGAACAAATCACTTTTCAGAACAAAAGTTTAAAGTTGAGTTATTCTTAGTTCAAATGACATTGGATATGATCTTTAATAATCATGTAAAGAGCAGATCGTCGAATCAGAGAACAGAATGAGGCAACCTTTATTCGCAAACTAAAAATTAGCACCCATTTGTTTCCATGACAGCAGATGCAAAAAATATGTAGTCATTCATAATACACAGAGTCTGAACTGTTTCTGGATCCAGCAGGTGGATTGTATGTGAAATCAGTGCTACATCAGTCGCAGGGAGATTCTGGAAGCAAAAGTTGGATTATAGTTGTATTGATTGAAGAGTGCATGTTACGTAGTCCTAAGCAACTTGCCTACATCGAAGTGTATGCATTTATTCAAATCATGAGGCAGGATCAATCCGGCCGTACAGTAGTTCAGGTCAGGGATTATCCAACCGTGGATAAAGTTGTAGGTTGATTATGGACACGGCAGCCACAAACAGATTATGGAAACTCCTGCCCTGGTAGGTCATTTACTATCTACAGTCTTAATTACTATACTCTGGAATGTTATTGACAACCGCTTGTTTTGAATTAACAGAAACATGTCAACAGTAGGGTTTCTCCATAACGATGCAGAAGGGTCTGAGGACAGTGGTTTTTATCTCTGCATTTCTTGTAAAGTCCTCTGAGATAACTACTGCTGTGATTTAGAGCTGTGCAAAAAAAAACTGAACTGAGTGGAATGTCCATTTGTCTTTATTCAACCCTTTAATGTTCACTCATGAAGAAAGCTGTGTTTTTTTTTTTTTTTTTTTGTATTTTCTATGATGTGATCCGTCTCTGTCTGCTAAATCCTAACAGGAGCACTAACAAAAAGTTGGCACTTTCTTGTCAATAACATGTTCACACAGACGTTTAGGAAAGGCCAGTAAAGTGCAAGACATGGTTTCATACCTATTCAGTCTGGCCTGTTCACTATGGCCCTGCATTTCACTGTCCATCTTCAACTGTTTTTGCTTTCGCCTTTTTTTCTTCTAAAAAATAGACTTCCACCCCATGTACATAATTTACTTTACTGTGTAAAGTGTAATGTGGCAAGGCAAGGCAAGGCAAGTTTATTTGTATAGCACAATTCATACACAAGGCAATTCAAAGTGCTGAACAAAACAAGAAAGCATTAAAATCATAAATAATCACAGTACATAAAAAAATATATATATATAAAATATACAATCCCTCAGTTGTATGCACAGCTAAACAGAACTGTTTTTAACCTGGTTTTAAACATTGTCAGAAAGGAGGCCTGTCTCACATCTTCAGGAAGATTGTTCCAGATTTTAGCAGCATGAATCTGAAAAGCAGCCTCCCCATGTTTAGTTCTGACTCTGGGCACTAACAGGAGTCCAGTCCCTGTGCTCCTCAGAGTCCGGGCTGGTTCATATGGGACTAACATGTCACTAATATATTTTGGTGCGAGGCCATGGAGAGACTTGTACACAAGCAGAGCTGTTTTAAAGTCTATTCTCTGAGCCACAGGAAGCCAGTGCAGAGACCTGAGGACTGGACTAATGTGGTCGTACTTCCTGGTTCTAGTCAGGACTCGAGTGCAATGTGCATTGTACTTTCTATAAATATGAATACTTTACATATTCTCTGCTACAAAGAGAGAGACTATAACGTCTCTGCAGGTATAGCAGGTTTTGTGTTGACACAATAATGAAGACATCTCTATGTCCTTGCCAAAGTAAACTCCTCTCTCTGGCTCTAGTCATTCAGAAAGTACATAGCACCTTATCCAAAGGGCGAGCAGGGGTTAGGCAAAGGGCCCACCACATCCAATGGACCTACCATCATTAAGAAAGGAAACGGTTGACTTTGTAATAATTGTTTAGTGGAAAAGTTATACTTTATTGGCCAATGTAGAGAAATTTTTCATCTGCATTTGACCCAACCTTCCTTTACCATTTCCAGTTGATGCCCTACTTCAGAGCTGGAGGATGTCACCTATATTGGACCTGATTTAGTGTCAAGGGAAACCGGAGCACCAGGAGGTAACCTATGCAGACACGGGAAGAACAAACTCCACTTGGATTTAATTTTTGAAATGTAGCCACACACTGTTTACTTGCAGTACTCAGCATTTTGCTTTTCAATTAACCATTATTTGCTGTTTTGCAATTATCTTAACCTAAAAATTGTGATTATTAAAAATGAGTGAAGTAAAAAAAAAAACGTACTTTTAATACATCTGGTGAAAAACGATTATTTTTCAGGGGGAAAATATCTCAGAATTCCATTGATTTGAATGGGAGCAGTCAAAATAACAGTTCTGGGAGTTCTAGTTTCATAATTCTGGGAGTCTGAGTGTTAAGCCTTTAATGTTCACTTCTAGCAGAAAGCAATGTCATTTTTTTCTTTTTTCAATCCGTAAGATGCGGGACACAAATAACACATACATTTTTTTAAATACATATTTTTTTCTTTAAACCCTTAGTTTGAAAAATATATATCTATATATTGTCCTTTACCAAATTTTATTTTATTGTAAAGGCTTTTGGTCGCCTTGAGTGTTGTAAAGGGCTAAATCAAATGTGATTGATTGATTGATGGTAAAAGTGCCTAAAACCAAGTGAGATGCCGCAAAAAGGTCGATATAGTGACTCAAAAAGCGATCCACCAAATGTTTGAGGAAACCATTAAAGGGTTTTCATGCTCCTGGGAACAAGAATTACTGAAATGGACACAGATACAATATTTAAGCTTTGAATTAATAAACATAAAAGGCTGCTGTTACGAAATATTAGCCTAGATATCCCATTGACAGTATGTTCATCACTGGCCTGGGATAATCCACAGGGATGAGTGGACTAATATCCAATCCCACTAAAGCCAAATTAGTCCAAACACATTTCCGTGGTATTTGAGCATAAAGTGCTGGGAATGAGCTGCTGCGATCGCCATCATCCCTCTCTCTCTGATCCCAGGATAAACCCCGAGCTGGATTAAACTCACAACTAAACTGACACACAAACAGGAGCCAACGACAGGTCAATGCCAACGACAAACACTTTTTAGACTCTTTTAATTAAAGGCCAAAGATTTGTGTGGACGGAGAATTCGGGAGAGCAGAAAACAGGTTGAGTTTTGAATGTACGTTATCATCAATTATCAGATGTCACAACATAGAATTTTAAAACAAATCATTCATTAACAATTGCTTTGTGTAATATTATTGTATGTTATTCAAACTGGAAAAGGTTTCAAAGGTTCTCCCGC